TCCTGGACCTCTTTTTTTGTCATTTTTCTACATATTCAGATTTCCAATCTTACAGGAATATATGCAAACTTACAATGCCCAAGCATAGAACTTTTCAATTTTGCCGCATCCATCACTAGCTTAAAATTTTGGGCTTGCCTTTGGCAATACCGGAATCAGCTCTATCTCTGAAAATTACGGTATTGAGCTAATTAGGAAACGAGAATTGGTTGGTTTAAAAATATGGAATAAATCACATTTCCAATATATATAAAATTATTTATTTTCCCAGAAGATGCAGACAATTTAATTTTAGACCATAAAGGATAATTATTTATTGAGCTAATTAGGAAACGCCCGCAGCCGTTTCCTCCTCGTCCACCAAAAAAGCTATATCTCTTTTCTCAATCCTCATCAGACGCGTGTGCTTCCAGATCCAGCTCCTCCCAATCCTCATCAGACATATCATTGTGTTTCTTCTCTTTTCCCGCCAAAGCTTTGCGAAATCAACGAATTTTTCATCTGCATCCTCCAATAGGAAAAATCATTCTTCCCATTGAATTTTTCAATCTCGTACTTTTCAACTTTAACTGTTTTACTTGTAGACGTCATTCTCCGCTTGTTTTAGTAAATCCGCTTCTCTCAGGAATTTCAACAAATACCTTGTGTACACCACACAATAATTAACCACCACCTCAGATCAGTAGCTCAACCACCGCCAATCTGAATAAGGGCTCTGATACCAATTTTTGGGCGCAGAGACACGCCCTCACGCCGCGGAAGCGATATCACCTGAGAGATAGCCCTGGCTTTTGTTGTCACAAAAGCACAAGTCAACATCTATATTCTTGTTTCTCAAAGGAAACTAGAATAGATAGTGAAATTCTTATTTCTCAAAGGAAACAAGAATCGAAAGTGATATATTTTATCAAAGTGAAATATACACTCTTCCTCTCATCAGTTCTAAGACTGAAATGTCGAGGGAACCTACAAGCTATGGCAACACACAGTAAAAGACGAGACAACAGATTTACGTGGTTCGACAAACTTACCTACGTCCACGAGAGGGGTTTTCACTATGAGGAGAATACCAAACTATTACAAGTTTTCTCTTCCTCTCTCTTCTTTTTCCTCTCTACTCGCTCAAGAGAATTTTCCCCACAATTCCTCCTCTCTTCCTCTCAATTTATAGACAAAGAGAGAGAGTAGGCTGAACAAAAGAGGGCATGGGCTGAACGTGGAAGCCTACAAAAGCATGGGGACACTAAACTGTCCCGTGTACAAAGCCCCCCCTACTGTCCCATGTACAAAGGCATGGGGGGACTTGTTGTCCCGTGTGCAAAGCATGGGGGGGCATGCTTTGTCCTGTGGATCCAGCCGAAAGCAGAGTAAGGGCTTGTGTCCTCCCCCACATCCGTTCACAGCATGGGCACAAGTACCCACGCTCACAATTTTCCACCTCGTTCATCATTTGATAAACCTCAAGTTTTGAACGAAACACCAGAAGAACCCCACGGACTTCGCCAGAGAGATCTAGACCAAACCAGCTGCGCCACTATACCGCGACTGCCTACGTACCCTCCACTGGGATCAAGCTAACCGTAGTTCTACAATTATTCTCCAACATAGTCTCCACCTCACCTCCATCACCGCCCCGCAGGGCCATGCCCTCTCGAGCAAATCAACACGGGATGATATGAAGCAAGTCCAAGCAATACTGAAACTTGCTGCCTGTGACCACCTTGGTTAACATGTCCGCGGGATTCTCATTCGTATGCACCTTCATGAGAGAAATATCACCTTCCTCTATGACATCCCGCACAAAATAATACCTGACGTCGATATGCTTGGTACGAGCATGGTGAACTTGATTCTTCGTCAAGTGAATCGTACTTTGACTGTCGCACCACAAGTTCACGCTTTCCTGCTCAATCCCCAAATCTTCTAGAAGACCCCACAACCACAATGTTTCCTTCACTCCCTCCGTCATGGCCATGTACTCGGCCTCTATTGTAGAAAGTGTCACTGTAGTCTGTAACATCGATCGCCAACTAACTGGATCCCCATGTATCATGAATACATAACCAGTAGTAGATCGCCATCTATCTAGATCGCCCGCATAATCTGAGTCCATATACCCATCGATCTGACATGTATCTCCACCAAAACACGGACCCGTATCCACGGTACCTTTCAAGTACCTCAGGACCCATTTTACCACTTCCCAGTGCGTCTTTTCCGGATTCGCCATGAATCTACTGACCACACTAACCGCCTGTGAAATATCAGGGCGTGTACACACCATTGCGTACATCAAACTGTCAACTGTACTAGCATAAGGGACACGCTCCATGTGTGCCTTATCTTCCGCTGTAGTTGGAGATTGTTTACCAGAGAGCCTAAAATGTGGAGCCAATGGAGTAACCACCGGCTTAGCACTTTGCATTCCGAACCTTGTGATCACCCGATCAATGTAGCCCTTCTGACTCAAGAACAATCGCCGATTCGTCCGCTCTCTTCTAATCTACATACCTAGTATTTTCTTTGCAGCGCCCATGTCCTTCATCTTGAACTCTTTGCTAAGTTGAGATTTCAGCTTATCTATCTCCACCTTGTTCTTTGATGCAATAAGCATGTCATCCACATATAAAAGGAGATAGATATAATCACCTCCACGAAGCTTCCGAATGTAAACACAACAATCATAGTCGCTTTGGGAAAACCCATGCTTTAGCATAAAGGAGTCAAATCGCTTGTACCACTATCGAGGAGATTGCTTCAATCCATAAAGTGACTTCCTCAAGCGACATACATGATGCTCATTATCCTCAACCTTGTAACCCTCAGGTTGATGCATGTAGATCTCTTCATCCAAGTCTCCGTGCAAGAAAGCCGTTTTAACATCAAGTTGTTCCAGCTCAAGATCACCATGAGCAACAATACTCAATAGCACCCGAATAGAAGTGTGTTTCACCACCGGAGAAAATATCTCATTGTAATCCACACCCTCTTGTTCGCGGGAAAAATCGTTTCTTTCTTCATTGTTGATTCCATTGTACACTCTTGTAATAGTTTATCGATTATAAAGATCCGGTCTTTTTATAAGATCCGGTTACAATAAAATCAAAGAAAAAGAAAAAAGATTACAACTTTCCTTATTTGTCGAACAAATCACGAGCTCCTGTTTTGCGGTCGCTCGCTTGCGTGGGTTCTTCGCCTGCGCCGGGGTTTATCCGTGGACCACCGCGAGATCTAGATCCGGTCGGATCTACGAAGTACGACGGGTATTATTTCGCCAAGGAAATAATAGCCGAGGGTACTATTTCGTCAAGGAAATAGTAGCCTTTAGTTCTCGGGATCAAAGACCAAGCTTTGATCCGGAGTACGCCTGCGTAGATCTGAGATCCGGTCCTCTCGAACTCTTGCTTTATTTGGCGTTGACGATCGCCGAGCACCAGATCTGGAAGAACAAGTCCTCAAAGTCCCAAAGCTTGGATCTTTTTTTTTTAGATCTGAGTCTTCAATCCAGTAGGGCTTCGCCTCCAAAAAATCCAAACCCTTGAACAAATGAACCAAGCCCCCTATTTATAGGCACTCTGAACTGTGCCCGGGCACAGATCTGGCCGGCCACCTATAGGTGGCTCGGCTCTGGGCCGGCTTGGCCGAGCCACCCATAGGTGGCTCGGTTTTGACCGAGCCCCTATAGGTATTTGGGTTCCGTCGTTTTTCGTCTTTCGGTTCTGTCCGTGATTCGGTTGTGTGGTTGATTTAGACTCTGATTCGTTGACCTGATTTGACAGTAAATCCGATTCCTGATTTGGCAGTAAATCCACTTCTGAGTTCGAGTCCGAAACTGATCTTGATTCGATCGTGATTCGTCCGAGTCCACCCTTGGTTGGATGACTCGTTGACTCTTCAACCTGTTAGCTTGATTCCGCACGCGAGTGGATTTATTCCGTTGTTTGCGTGCGGTTCATTAGCTTCGTAGCCTCGTTAATCCGCTTTGTCGCGTATCGCTTGGCTTCGGCGTTGTGGACTAACAATCGTGTCTGCATACGTCGCCCGATGGTCGGTTCGTCTAATCGGCGTTGTCGAGCTG